CTCTAAAGTCGCTTGTCCGAAAGAGTTGAGGTATTCATCTACAAATACGGTATTCATACCATCGGGTCCGATATTGGATGGAGTTACCTGGAACTGACAACCACTGCCACCACTATTGATAGCGATGGTGCTTGGGTTGGCTGTTTGAATACAACCTGGGTTTACAGCTGTTATACCGTTATTAGGTGATACGTTGTCTTCAAAATCAGCGTCAAAACTCAAAGAAACAGTAGTATTGCCAACGGGCAAACCGGCTGGATTGAAGTTGCTGCCCGATACGCCGGCACCACTCCAAGTCAAAGTACCTGCCATGGTTGGGTTTACAGTAGCAGTCAAAGGCACAAGTGGCTGTACTAAGCAATTGCTGAATGGACCTTTTGGGTCAATCACTACATTAGGATATATACATCTATTGCCGATGGAACCGATGAAATAAGCCGGTCCGCTGCCTACTTGAGCATACAAACTAGCCAAATAGCCTATGTTATCTACGTGTGTAAATATGTTCGAAGTATATTTGCTCATTGTAGCACTAAGTGGCAACTCTGTGAAAGTAAGAGTGTTTAGTGTTCCACCTGCAACAGTACCCGTGATAGTTGCGCCAATAGGACCAGTTACAGTAAGGTATTCACTAAAAGTGCCGTCATCTTGCGTATTAGGGTTAGAAGATCCGTTGTTACAAGTACATGGATCCACCTTTGAAAATCCTATTGGTGTGCCAGTTGTGTTCAAATAGCCATATTCAGCATCAAAACAATCTGCATCAAAGTCAGCCACTACACCTGCGCGTAAAGTACTTTCGCAAACAGATGAAACAGTTTGGCTAGCATAATATATAAAACCATCCATTATTGGGGTGTTAGGGGCTAGCGGAGTTCCGCCAGTGGGGGCTGAGTACCATTGTATGTTGCTACCAGTTGCAGATAAATCTCCTACGGTCGGTGCCGGCAATACGCAGAATACCTGCGGAGAAGTAACTGTTGGTGCCGGCGGCAAGGGATTAATGGTATAAGTAAACACCCAATCTAGGCTGTTACCTTCACAGTCGACATAAGTCCAAGTATAAGTTTTTGTACCTCCATCAGGTGGAGTCGCACTTACTACTGGGCCTGTTGGAGTGATGGGTTCTCCACAATTGCTCATCACCGTAGCCGGAGTGGGTGGCGTGATTAAAGCCGCACAAGCAACCGTCGCAGAACCAGGGGCAGGTAAGGTAAATGGCTCACGCTCAATGGTATATACAAAACTCCAAGTGGCAGTATTGCCTTCACAATCGGTATAGGTGTAAGCGTAAGTACGCGTACCCTCACATGCAATAGGATTTGGCGCATTAGTGATGACCGCAGCAGCTGGTGTCAGCGTTTCTCCGCAATTGCTCATTACCGTAGGCAGTGTTGGTGCTACTGCTAGTGCTGCGCAAGCTACTGTAGCAGCACCACTTGCAGGTACTGTAAATGGCTCACGCTCAATGGTATATTCAAAACTCCAAGTTGCAGTATTGCCTTCACAATCAGTATAGGTGTAAGCGTAAGTGCGAGTGCCTTCACAAGTCAACGGATTTGGTGAATCAGTGATGACCGGAGCAGCTGGTGTCAGCGTTTCACCGCAATTGCTCATTACCGTAGGTAGTGTTGGTGCTACTGCTAGTGCTGCGCAAGCTACTGTTGCAGCACCACTTGCAGGTACTGTAAATGGCTCACGCTCAATCGTATAAACAAAATTCCACGTTGCAGTATTGCCTTCACAATCTGTATAGGTGTAAGCGTAAGTGCGAGTGCCTTCACAAGTCAACGGGTTTGGTGCATCAGTGATGACCGGAGCAGCTGGTGTCAGCGTTTCTCCGCAATTGCTCATTACCACAGGTGGTGTCGGTGTTGTAATAGCTGACACACAAGCTACGGTCGCAGCTCCATTTGCTGGCACTGTAAATGGCTCACGCTCAATTGTATATACAAAACTCCAAGTGGCATTATTATTTGCGCAATCAGTATAGGTATAGGTGTAGGTAATCGTACCCTCACAGGAAACCGGATCTGGTGAATTCATGATCACAGGTCCGGTGAACGTAGTTGTACCACCACAAGCGTCATTCACCATAGGCGGAGTAGGAACTACAACCAAGCTAGCACAGGCCACCGTTGAAGCTCCGTTGATTGGGACGACCGGAGGCGTTACATCTTGAACTACGATAGACCCTGAACAAGAAGCTGTATTACCAGAGCAATCCGTAGCTGTCCATGTGCGAATATGTGTTCCCGTTCCGATGCAGAGCCCAGGGATAATGTCATCTGTAAAAGTAATCACCGGCGGAATTCCAATACAAGCAGCAGCCGTAGCCACAGCCGTAGGAGTTTGAAAGCTTGGTGAAGCCGGACAATTTACCGGAGTCGTTTGAGTGGCGCAGGTGATTGTTGGTGCTTGAGCCAAAACGCTTTGCGTGCCCCACAAAAGGAATATACTTAAAAAGAAAGTACTGAGCAGCAAATTAGACGAGAGAGAAAAAGATTTAGAGATAAATCTGAGGGGCATCGGCTGAGGCCAACGCAGAAATGTTGAGATGTTCATGTTATTGAAATATTTAGAGGAGAGTGGACAATACACGTGTCCAACGAAGAATGTTACATTTTTCTTCATCAATAAATCGGTTTGGATTGAAAAATAGTTGTTTTACATACTTGAGGAATTCGCATCACAGAAAAAATTTTAATTAAAACTCATCTAATGAAGCAACATCAAGTCATGTGTTGGATTAAAAAACTGTAGGAGGATTAAAAGTAATAGCACAGATGAAAATTGAATTTCTCCAATTAAAGCACAAGATTACGACTTTTTTCTGAATAATGACAAATAAAAATAATTATCAAGTGTGGTGGCGTTTCACACAACACACTGACAATCAATCATTTAATCAAATTTCAGAATCTTCCTTTCCTCCATTTTTTTTTATTCCAATAGCCTTTTGTCTGATATTTTACATTTTTTTGTGTAAATCGAGCATTTCCTTTGCCCGAATATGACACCTATAATCATGCAAAACCACCGATTGCATGGCATATATATTTTATATCAAATTTTATACCAAATAAGGATTAGTTTATACAAATCAAATTTTTAGAAATAATGATGGCGTGTCCTCGAAGCCGGCTTTTGAGCGCATGTTTCCGCTTTTTGTGGTGTTGGTATTGGATTAGTGGAGCTTCTTTAAGCGTTTCTGCAAGCCGGCTTCGAGGTCGGGCTATCCGTTGCAATAGTCTGTTGGTTGCTTTTCTACACCGGCTTGGGCGATACGGAAGCTCTAGCATTGCGACATTTCTACGGTATTATCGGTCACTTTTAGGAAAAAGCAACCAACAGGCTATTTCCACTTCTATCCCTCACGCATGATGATTCACGTTCAATTGCTTCAGGATTGTTAAAATGTTAAGCGAATGTATATTGTTTTGCGGTGATGGAGGCGTAGAACAATTCATTGGGGTGAATGCAATATTGCAAATTCACTGCTTGAAATGCATGAATGCAGAATACATGAATTTAGAATTTTGAAGGAGGGCGAGGTGAAGGAAAGAAATTTTGAGTGTGAAATTTTGAGTACATGAGTGATGAGTACAGGAGTACTTGAGTGTCTCGTCCTGAAATAAGTTTACGTCAAAAACTTAAAAAAAGGATGAGATTAAAAACAAAAAGTATTAAACGTTACAGTACGCGTTTCAAGCAGCAAGTTGTAGTTGAATATCAAACGGATACGAGTAGTATTCGAGAGATATGTAAGAAGTACGAAATCAGTATAGCGTCTTTAACAAGATGGCAGAATGAATTTTCAACGAGTTCGAATNAAAAAAAATCTCCACCCTACGGGTAGTATTTTTTATCAAAAATCCTTGCACTTAATCATCCCTTGTTTGAAAAAGCATCTACGGGTGATGAAACCACATATACTGCTCAAAACTGTCAAAGAACTTTAAGATTAGACCAAACATTGGTAAACCCATTTTAGGATTAAACTTTTTGTTTGGTAAACTCTTTTTAGGATTAATTAGTTATTTATTCACTTTGTAAACAAAATTCAGGACGTGACAAATTTTGAAGGAGGGCGAGGTGAAGGAAAGAAATTTTGAGTGCGAAATTTTGAGTACATGAGTGATGAGTACATGAGTTTTGAAGGGGGCGAAGTCCTGCATTGCTAGGGTGAATTTTTGAATACATGAATGCAGAATACATGAATTTAGAATTTTGAAGGAGGGCGAGGTGAAGGAAAGAAATTTTGAGTGTGAAATTTTGAGTACATGAGTGATGAGTACATGAGTACTTGAGTTTTGAAGGGGGGGAAGTCCTGCATTGCTAGGGTGAATTTTTGAATACATGAATGCAGAATACATGAATTTAGAATTTTGAAGGAGGGCGAGGTGAAGGAAAGAAATTTTGAGTGCGAAATTTTGAGTACATGAGTGATGAGTACATGAGTACATGAGTTTTGAAGGGGAGTGAAATCCTGAATTTCTAGGGTGAATTTTTGAATACATGAATGCAGAATACATGAATTTAGAATTTTGAAGGGGGCGAAGTGAAGGAAAGAAATTTTGAGTGCGAAATTTTGAGTATATGGGTGATGAGTACATGAGTACTTGAGTTTTGAAGGGGAGTGAAATCCTGAATTTCTAGGGTGAATTTTTGAATACATGAATGCAGAATACATGAATTTAGAATTTTGAAGGGGGGGGGGCGGAAAAGCATAAGGTTTTTCGGCGCTTGCGTGAGGGATAGTAGCGGAAATAGCACTTTTTGTGCCTTTTTTGTAAAAATAACCCGTACAACCATTGCGGCATGGCGGTGCAAAATCTATCACGAAAACCCGAGAGCGAAGACAAAAAGGCACAAAATGGGCTATTGTAGCGGATAGCCCGACCATCGCCGCCTTGTGAGATGACTAAGCTAACCGGTACGCTTTTGGCGGCGGTGGGCACGCCCAAATGGCTCTAAAAACGGGAAAGTTTTGGTAGGATTTACCCTTGCACCCAGACGACAAATTTCTCTTCGAACCAATGGTGCTTGAACATGGGCGTGATAGGAAAAACATCGGTGTAAGACTTGCCTTTGCCGGGCAATTGGGCTATTTCGCCTTTGAGATTGCCACCCTTGAGGGCTATAAGTCCGTTGGGCATGGCATGTTGGTGCTTTTTGCTGATGAGGGGCTGGCTCCACAACAAGAGTTTGTCGAGGTCGGTAACGGCGCGAGTAACCACAAAATCGTAGTGATTGGGGGCTTTGTGCTCTTCTACACGTTGGTGTTTGGCGGTGACGTTTTTGAGTCCGATGCCATCGGCGACTTCTTGCACGACTTTGATTTTCTTGCCTGTACCATCGATGAGGGTAAAGTGCACCTCGGGGTAAAAAATGGCGAGCGGTATGCCCGGAAAGCCTCCTCCGGTGCCCAAATCGAGGATGCGCGCGCCGTTTTTGAAGGGGATAGCCTTGGCAATGGCAAGGGAGTGCAGAAAATGGTGCAATTCGATATGGGCTATATCGGTGCGAGAAATGACGTTGATCATGTCATTCCAAGTGGTGTAAAGGGCAGCTGCTTGCTCAAATTGCTGCAGTTGCTCGGAGGTCAACTCCGGAAAGTGTGTGCGTAGAATTTCCATAAATTTGCCGCAAATGTACAAAACTACCTGAACAATTTTAGTTTTTAGTTAAGTAATCATCATTTAACTATGTAGGCAGCGAAAATGAACAAAATAATGTCTATGTTTGTGACGCAATTATACTTGATGCACTACTCCAGGCGACACTTAATATTAATTTTTATTTTGATGAGAAGTCTATTCCTATTTATTTCCCTTTCTTTATTTTCCCTTAATTTGATGGGGCAAGTTTTATTTTCAGAAACTTTTGATGAACCTGATGGCGTAACTTCGGGCGTGAGCGCGGAGGGGATTGGGTGGTCGACGGCGTGTGCTAACTGCAATGGAACAACTCAAACCTGGGATACCGGAGGTGGCTTTGGATTTCAGAATCATAACACAAAGGGTCCGGCAACTTGGACTACCAATAATATCAATATCACAGGGTGTCCTACAATTAGGTTTTCGATGGATTTCACTACGGCTCCGACACCACCAAATGGTAGCGGAGACATTTGGCTTGGGACTGGCAATCTAGAATACCAAAGTGATCCAAGTTGCGTTTTTTCGGTTCAACCATGCCCAGGGGATCCTAATAACCCTACTGTTGGCACTTGTAACAACTGCTGGGACTTCTTATTTGTAGAATTAGTATTAGATGGAAACGTTGTATATTCTTATCTAATGGGCATGGATACTAGCGTACATGCTACCTACACTTTTAACTACAATTCAGCTTCAAACCTAGGTTGCAATGGCACAGGTTACAATAATGCCGTTATAAGGGTAAAATCGCAAACATGGGGAGCCGACGAGTATCTTAGTTTTGGAAACGTGTCACTCACTTGCGTACCAACTCTTCCTCCGGCTATCAACGATATTGCAGACGTAACAATATGCGCACCGAATGCTTCCCCTTATTCCTATACCCTTCCTCCTATAACTGGTACTAACCTTTCGGGCACCCAAGCTTATTACACAGCCACAAATGGGGGTGGAACTGCTTATTTGCCGGGATCAAGTATTTCGCTTACGGCCGCTAATACCACGTTGTATATTTATGATAATATAGCTGCTACGGGATGTAAGGACGAGGAGTCTTTTATGATTACAAAAGTGGTGCAACCAAATATCACTGCACCTGCAACTAGCATAAACGTCTGTGGTGACAATTACACTTTACCTGCCATTGTCACTAACCCTGCCACTGGATATACAACAGGCTATTATACCGGAATGAACCAAACCGGCACGATGTATTCGGCAGGACAGGTGATTACACGCCCAGTTGCTGCACCTTATACTGTGACATTGTATAAATATGCTTTTTCACCTACCATGCCTAGTTGTTTTGATGAAGAAATTATCACGATTACGTTCCTTCCTAAACCAGTGATTGATTTTTTACCTGATGTGACGGTATGTGGACCTTACACCTTGCCTACCATAACTGGTATGAATTTACAGCCAGCACCTTATACCGGTTGGTTTCAAAACAGCAATGGTACAGGGCCGGTTGGTCCTGTCATTACGACATCCCAACTTGTATATGCTTATGGGGTAAATCCGGGAACGATAACACCATTTCCTCCCTTTGCACAATGTCCTACCAATTATGACACTGAATCAGTCAACATCACTATACTTCCGGTAGCTGTGGCTCCTGTGGTTACCTCTCCGGTGAACTATTGCCAAGGAGCACCTGCTGTGCCTTTAACTGCAACTGCATCAGGTGGAAATACGCTGAATTGGTATGGTACCGATGCAGTGGGTGGTACTGCTTCTGTTACCGCACCTACACCAAACACATCGGCTGTTGGTGGCACAACGTATTATGTATCACAAGGAAGTGGCGCATGTGAAAGCGCAAGAGTACCCATTGTGGTCATAGTGACCGCAAGCCCTGCTCCGCCCGATGTGGTATCAGATGGAGTTTGTGGTCCAGGGTTGGTGAATCTGAGTGCTTCAGGATGCGCGGGAGGCACCATCGAATGGTATGCGAACCAAACTACGACAACAGTATTGGCAACGGGGAACAACTATTCGCCAAGTATAAGCGGCACAACCACATATTATGTAGCGTGTAATGTAGGCGGTTGTGCTAGTACGCGTGTACCTGTGGCAGCTACGGTATTTCCGATACCTCCTACGCCTACGCTTACGGTGGATGCTAATCCAATATGTACGGGCACTCCGGTGACATTCACGGCAACCGGAGGGGCTAATTGTTATGAGTTTTATGTAAACGGTGTAGTAGTACAAGCCTCATCGCCGGATAATACTTACGGACCGGTGACTTTAGCCGCTGGTCAGGTGGTTACCGTAAAGAGTTTCAACTGTGTCATATATGATGGCAATATCACGGAAAATGCGTGGGGAACTGGTCCAATGGAAGATAATAGTCAAAGTACAGCACCAGGCGCATTTGGCAATAATGCTATTGTGAATGCCTTATATGTTACCGGAACAACGGATTCTATACAAATTGGTATAGCTGGGAGAGTCACCAATTCGTATCGAGTATTGTTGTTTATAGATTCCAAGCCCGGCGGCTATAATGTGGCAAACTTTGGCAATTACACGCCTGCGGGTCCGGGTCCGATTGCCTTTGACAACTTCAATAATGGTTCGGTATTCGACAATAATTTCAATGCTGATTATTGTCTTGCACTCGGCACTAATCCGGGCGAGGCAGACTATTTTATTGATCTGATGACCTTGGATGTACCCAATAGCCCCAAAATATACTTGGGCAACAACAATACACCGTCCAACCCAATTGGGTTGATACCGGCATCTGGCACCGGAGACTTGACCCATGGTTTTGAGGTTGGATTTTTGAAATCGAACATAGGTTATACAGGTGGAGATATCAAATTTTTCGCCATGGCAATGGCAGATGATGGCAATTTGGGCAATTCATTCTTAAGTCCGGCACTTTCCGGAACAAATTATGGCAATGGTTCAATATTCTTTGCTAGTGCAGACCCTAATCCTGTTGTAGTGCCTGGCGATGCACTTACACCTTGTATGTCCAATCCTAGTAATAGTATCACGATGAATATTACGGTGCCTGCGGTTCCAACTTTCACTCCTATTACAGCAATTTGTCTTGGAGGTAGCTTAACGCTTCCGACAACTTCTAATAATGGTTTTACAGGTACATGGTCTCCAGCAATTAACAACACTGCCACTACTACCTACACCTTCACACCAAATCTTGGACAATGTGCTTCCACTACTACTATGACGGTGACTGTCAACCCATTGCCTACCATAACAGTAGTGGCTGGATGTAATGGTGGTCTAGGTACTGGAACAATAAACACCACAGCATCAGCAAGCAATGGCGGCACACTCACCTATACCATCGATGGTACAGCAGACACTGATGGCAACCAAACCGGATTGACAAACGCTACCTATAACGTTGTGGTCACCGAAAACCCAAGTGGATGCTCCAATAGTCAAAGCGCTACCGTCAATTGCAACTGCCCAACTATTACTGTTTCGGGATTAGCCACTATGTGTCAAACAGCCAATGCTACCACTTATACGCAAAGCGGTGGAGCAGCAGGTGGCACTTGGTCGGTGTTACCCGCTGGTGCTGGCACTATCACTGCCGTTGGTAGTTTTACGCCCAATGCAACCTACTCGGGTAATGCCACCATCACCTATACTGTAGTTGGATGCGCAGGTTCTCTTGCTATTACTATCAATGCGCAAACGCTACCAGCTTTCAACCCAATACTACCTATTTGTAATGGCTCGATACCAATACCTACCTTGCCAACAACTTCTACCAATGGAATAAATGGAACATGGAGTCCAGCCACCATAAGTAACACAACATCAGGTACCTACACCTTCACGCCAAATCTTGGACAATGTGCTTCCACTACTACTATGACGGTGACTGTCAACCCATTGCCTACCATAACAGTAGTGGCTGGATGTAATGGTGGTCTAGGTACTGGAACAATAAACACCACAGCATCAGCAAGCAACGGCGGCACACTCACCTATACCATCGATGGTACAGCAGACGCTGATGGTAACCAAACCGGATTGGCAAACGCTACCTATAACGTTGTGGTCACCGAAAACCCAAGTGGATGCTCCAATAGTCAAAGCGCTACCGTCAATTGCAACTGCCCAACTATTACTGTTTCGGGATTAGCCACTATGTGTCAAACAGCCAATGCTACCACTTATACGCAAAGCGGTGGAGCAGCAGGTGGCACTTGGTCGGTGTTACCCGCTGGTGCTGGCACTATCACTGCCGTTGGTAGTTTTACGCCCAATGCAACCTACTCGGGTAATGCCACCATCACCTATACTGTAGTTGGATGCGCAGGTTCTCTTGCTATTACTATCAATGCGCAAACGCTACCAGCTTTCAACCCAATACTACCTATTTGTAATGGCTCGATACCAATACCTACCTTGCCAACAACTTCTACCAATGGAATAAATGGAACATGGAGTCCAGCCACCATAAGTAACACAACATCAGGTACCTACACCTTCACGCCAAATCTTGGACAATGTGCTTCCACTACTACTATGACGGTGACTGTCAACCCATTGCCTACCATAACAGTAGTGGCTGGATGTAATGGTGGTCTAGGTACTGGAACAATAAACACCACAGCATCAGCAAGCAATGGTGGCACACTCACCTATACCATCGATGGTACAGCAGACACTGATGGCAACCAAACCGGATTGACAAACGCTACCTATAACGTTGTGGTCACCGAAAACCCAAGTGGATGCTCCAATAGTCAAAGCGCTACCGTCAATTGCAACTGCCCAACTATTACGGTTTCGGGATTAGCCACTATGTGTCAAACTGATAACCCTACCACTTACACCCAAATTGGTGGAGCCGCAGGTGGTACGTGGTCGGTGTTACCTGCTGGTGCTGGCACTATCAATGCCGTTGGCAGTTTTACGCCTAATGCAACCTATTCTGGAAATGCTACTATCACCTACACTGCAGCTGGATGTGCAGGCTC